CCTGATCTAAAGACTTGGAAGAGAAGGATATTCAAGGAAGGAACTAACAATAGGAGCAGATGCTTCTGGGGCTCCAGCTGACCTGGGATACAAACAGTGACTTTCTGTTCTTCCGCGAGGCTCTCATGACTTACCAGCCAGATAACTTACACAAGCTCATCCTGTCCCTTCCCTTCCAGCCTTTCCCCTGAACTCCTTTATTCTCAGTGAACCTGCCCTCACTTCAAGGTTCCATACAAAGGCTCTTACCAAGTTTGTCAATAACCTCCCAGTAGCATTTATTATTAGGCAGATATGCTGGAGCGATAGCACAGTGGGTAGGGCGTTCGCCTTACAAGCAGCCAACATGGCCGACCCGAGTTCGATTCCTCCGCCCCTCTCGGAGAGCCCGGCAAGCTACCGAGAGTATTCGATATGCCAGACACAGTAACAACAAAGTCTCCAATGGAGACGTTACTGGGCCCGCTCGAGCAAATCGACGATCAACGGGAGGGCCTTTACCTTTACCTTTTTATTGGCAATAATAATCATAACAAGTACTGCAAACATGTTCTGGTGACTGCTCACCACTGTCATAAATATTTTACACATCCCATGGCATCGCATGTGAGGTGGGGAGCATCATAGTCCCCAATTTACAAATGGCGAACACAGGGCTCAGGGTCCTTTAGGTGACCTGTTTATGGCTATTTAGCTAGCATGTATAAGATGAAAAATTGAAAATATAGACACAGTCTCATCTGGAGTGGAGTAGAAAGGCCCAATACAGTCTCCATCTACTTGAATCAAGGAGTCTACTGAAGAACAGTTCTGACATGCGATGTCACCTTGCTCTCTAACTCTCACTTTGCCTGGTAAAGAAAGAAAAATTTCTTGGCTTGGTATTCAGGGATCAGGGGCCAGCATTAAACCTTGTTGCCTATCAAAGCCTGGCTATCCTCTGCTTTCCCCCTTCAACCTCTTCTACTCCCAGGTCAGACCTGCAGATTGTTATTTCTCCCACTGTCTTTTCCTAGTGGCTCAAGGAGCTTGGGCTTTCCACAAGGTCTCACTTACTTAACAGGCTAAGAGTCTTGCATAATTTGTTGGATCTTATGCTTTTTTGCCTTGGCCTAATGGGAACAGCATGTTGCCTCTGTGCTACAGTTTGGGCCAACCTAGGAGAGGAGCACACAGGTGCTGCATCCAAAAGCTCTGGCTTTCTCTCAAAACGCTAACCGCAGTTAAGCATGTGATGATTTGATATTGGCTATTACATGTGACCATTTACAATTGATAAGGAGGTGGCTAATGGCTATTTTGATCAACGGGTAGTTTGGTTTTGTTATAAAATCACAGCTGCTACTTAAACACTTTTGCTTGTCTCCAGCTTGACTATCACAATCACGATCATCCTGTTGTTCGTAGATTGCCTCGAGCAGGCACCAGTAATGTCTCTTTTTTCCCAGCCCTGAGATTTTAAAAGAGCCATTTCAATGCTCTTTCAGGGCTAGGAGAATGAGACCTATCATTGTCACTGGTATTTGGCATATTGAGTATGACACGGGAAGTTTGCCAGACTCTGCCGTGCAGGCAGGATACTTTCGGTAGCCTGCCAGGTTCTCCAAAGTAAAAAATGAGATAATAAGATGTCTTATTCGCTGCCGTGTGCTTCCGGGAGCTGGGTTTTATAGTCTCTGGGTCCTGGCCGTTGATGGGACCACCTGGTGCCGGCAGCAGCTGGTGGGTATAACGCCTACCTACTGAAAGATGGAGGATCTGGGTGGAGAAGGCCCAGTTCCGATCCGAGCAGGCTTGGAGATCTCAGCCCCGGGACCTGCCTGCCTGGGTTCCTCTGCCAGTTCCTTCATGCATGAGGCTTTTCCGGATTTGTGGAGAGTGATCTCAGCATGGCTGTGGCTGGTTCTGGAGGTCTTCGGCTGCTGGGCCTCTGCTTGGGGTGGGGAGGGAAACTCAACCCGCCCCCCTGCAAGGGGCCCTGGTGAGGACAGCCAGGCGTGGGGGCAGGAGACTCTGACTGATTGCAGCTTGATTATGAAGCTGGGCTGGAGCGATAGCACAGCGGGTAGGGCGTTTGCCTTACAAGCAGCCAACATGGCCGACCCGAGTTCGATTCCTTCGCCCCTCTCGGAGAGCCCGGCAAGCTACCGAGAGTATTCGATATGCCAAACACAGTAACAACAAAGTCTCCAATGGAGACGTTACTGGGCCCGCTGGAGAAAATCGATGATCAACGGGAGGGCCTTTACCTTTACCTTACTTTTACCTATATGCATATATATATATATATATATATATATATACACATACATACATATATATTAGTGAAACACCATGAGGCACCGTTGTAGACTTACAAATTTTTGTGCTTGGGTTTCAATTATACAATTATCGAGTACCCATCCCTCCACCAGTGCCCATTTCCCACCACCACTGATCCCAGTATCTCTCTCCCCCACCCCCCCAATCCCACCCTGCCTCTGTGGCAGGGCATTCCCTTTTCTTCTAAAGAGAGATATATTTGAAGTACGAACATCCCAAGGCAAGCAGTGGGCAAATGCACCTACACACATATTTATTGAGACAATAGATGTGAATGTTTCTGAACAGTAAAATAAAGTGCAGAATGCAAGGTTTATTCCGGTTCCTGCAACTAACAGCCATTCCCCACTCTCTGTCTTCCGTCTGTCTTCTGTCTGTCTTGTCTCCTAAGCCTCTTATACCTCCTCCCCCTCCTCTCCATCTTATGAGTCCTTTCAGTGAAACCTCCCTCAAATTCCTCTTCTTTCCTAAGCTGCGCGATGGCTCATTCACATCCGGGCAGCAAAATTACTGGGAGAAAATTATGTTCTGGCCTGACCTGCCTGAGAACACTCTTGACTGCCCCAGCAGAGGAACCTACTTGAAGAACAGTTCTGACATGCAATGTCACATTGTTCTCTAACTCCCTCTTTGTCTGTCAAATAAAGTAAAATATCTTAGCTTGGTATTCAGGGCTCAGCACTAACTCTCATTCTTTCACACTCTGGCTTTATCTCACATTATCTCTTTGAAAATGCTCCCATTTCTTTATCAAGCATCACACATCTCTAATTTCAGTCCTTCTTGACTGGCTTTCTGTATACCTCTTCCTGGAATATACTAGCACTGTGGCAGAATTCAAGTCAATGTGAAGCTCAGGTACTTCTTGAGCTTGTAATAATCATAGTATAATATAATATAAGTCATGCCAGTCAGCCATTGGGTGCTGCACTCAACCTGGCGTGGTGGGTTCAGATCTACCAAACCAGCTTCCCTCTCCTAACAGAGCTCAAATAAGTAGTCCAGTCCTCGGCTGGACCTGGGAAGTGCAGGATAGCAGATGGCCAGGCAGCTTTTTCTTTCTAGCATGTCCAGAACATTCTGCATTTGTCTGACCCCTCGTCTGCAGCCTGTCTCCTGAGGGCAATAGTGACTACAGAATTTGCAGGGCATTGGTGGAAGAAATCAGGATCACTTGCTAAGAAATTATTCAGACTTGCCAGAGAGAGAAGGCAAAGTATTAAACCAAGCCTGCAAGACCCCGTGTGCTTGGAACTCCTTGTGGTCGGGGCTGTGATGAAAAGCAATCAGACTTCGTTTTCTGGTTTGATTTAGTTGCTTTGGAGCTTACCCCCCCCCCCCAAACACACACACACACACACACACACACACACGGATTGGTTAGGAAGCAGTGTGATGAAGACCACTTCAGCACGAAGAGATGTGGAGGTGGTGGAGAGGGGTGGTGAGATTAGCGAGGAACAGCAAAACCTCCCCCAGGAGCCATCAATGGGTGCCTATGCGGAACCAGAGGTTGCTGCAATGTTTGGGTTTTCTTTAGACAGGGCGGGTGGGGGGGCACACACCTGGCGGTGCTCAGGGTTTACTCCTGGCTCTGCTTTCAGGAATTACTCCTGGTGGAGCTCAGAGACCATACGGGATGCCGGCGATTGAACCGGGGGTGGCAGTTTGCAAGTCAAGCCCCCTACCCACTGGCCTATAGCTTGACCCCTGACCCCCTCCCCCCCCCTTTTTTTTTGGTTTGGAGCCATACACAGCGGTGCTCGGGGGCTTACTCCTGGCTGCGCTGAGGATTTGCTAGTGGCAGGCTCAGGGGACCATATGGGGCTTGGAGTCGGCCACGGGCAGGGCAAGTGCTCTCCCCCTGGAGTGCTCTCCGCTCCCCAAACCAAGCGCTTGGGGCGGGAAGAACTCTGCTTGAGACTCTTGATATGTCCTAGCTGGGGGAGGGCCGACTGATTTCTCCCCTCCCAGGCCCCCAGCCCCCCCCCGCACCCCAAACCTGGAGAGCCGGTTTGAGTGAGGAGGCTCTTGGGTACCGCACCCCATGCAGGCTGCCTACAAGTACCCTCGGGGCCGGCCCGAGCCGGGGAATATTCCTATCTTCCCGGGAGGACGCGGATCAAGTCCCGGGCGGCAGATCGGACCCTCACTGCCCGCCACCGCGGGGACTAGCTCGGTCCGTGTGGCCAGGACAGTGCCGTCACCGGGCGCCTGCCGCCTTCCAAGCGCAAAGACGGGCTCGGCAGGGCTCGGCGTTGGCGGGGGTCCGCCCGGGAGCAAGAAACGGTGAGCAACAGGTGGGAGAGCCGGGAGAGCCCGCGCGTGAGCCCCGCGGCCCCCAGACCGGGGGGAGGGGGTCGCAGAGGAGGCGGCAGCCCCCCTCCAACGCCCCGTGCCGTCCCCTGAAAGCCGAGCGTGCGGTGGCCCCTGGCCCGTCCTCCCTCCGCCTGGGCGCGCGGCGGTGTTGGCGGGGGGGGGGGTGGAGACCGGGGTCCCCTCCTCCTCCTCCCCCCCGCCCTCCGGAGCACGCGTCCACGGCCCCCTCGACTGGCCGTCCGCGTGCCTCGCCGGAACTGCCCAAATCCGGGGCGGAGCCGGTGGGGGGGGGGCGCTCGGGGCGGGGCGCGGGGAGGAGTGAAAGTTGGAATCCCATAAAAGCGGCCAAGCGGCTCCGCACCGCCAGACCGTGCGCTGCGACGTCCTCAGGACAGTCGCCCCGGTCCCCGGCACGATGTTAGCGAAAGTTGTGCGCGTGCTTCTGCTCCTGACAATGATCCTGACAGCGGGGTGAGTCTCCGTCCCCAGCCCCTGCAGCCCCCGGCCCCGGGAGGGGCGGGATCCCCTTGGAGGTCTCGGGACCGGGACCTGGGAGGTGGGACGGCAGCGGCTTGGCCCGGGGCGTTCGGACCCCAGATGGTGGCGGGTCTGTGTCTCCATCCCGAGCCCCCGCGGGCCCCCGTGGGCCCCCGCACCTGGGACCCTCGGCCGGCGGAGCTTGCTGGGCGGGGTCCCCTCGGCGGGGCGCGGGGCGCAGAGCGTTAGAGGTGGGACGGCAGCAGCCGCGCCCGGGCGGTTTGAATCCCAGACGGGGGCGGGTCTGTGTCTCCGTCCCGAGCCCCGGCAAACCCCGGCACCCGGATCCCTTACCCGGTGGGACCTTGCTGGGCGGGTTCCCCTTGGGAGGGGGGCGCGGGGTCCCGGAGGTGGGACGGCAGCGGCCGTGCCCGGGGTGCTCGGACCCCAGACGGTGGCGGGTCTGTGTCTCCGTCCCAAGCCCCTGCAACCCCGGGTACCAGGGCCCCTCGCCCTGGCTGAGCTTGCGGGGCGAGATCCCCTCGGGTGTCGCGGGGCCACTCCATCCCCTTCTCCAATTTGCGCGAGCAAAGTGCGGAAAGGGTGGTCCGCGGAGCTTCCGAGGGCTGTGGGGGTGGGGGTCCGGGGTCCGGGGCGTCGTCGGAAGGGGGAGCCCCCCAAACGGAGCATGCATGCGTGCGGAGAGAAACGGTTCCTGAAACGTCTGACGGTTTCGATGCTGGCTGGTGCGTCCTCGAGGAGCAAATTTGGTTTTCTCTGAGTGGCTGCCAAGCGCCTGGCGCCGAACAACTCCGCGGGCGCCTCTTCCCGCCACTCGCGCTGCCCAGCCCGCAGGCTGGCGGGAGTTGACGGTTTCCAAGTACGCACAGGCACACTCCCCTCCTCCCTCATGCCAGCCACACCCATGAGCCCTGAGTAGGCTGGACGCAGGACCGGGACTGCTGGCTGGGATGTCACCAGGGGCCCCTGGTCCTCCGTGGCCCCGGGGCCGCGCTAAGACAGCTGTCTCTCGCTTTCGTGGCTTTTTAGTACTAAAGAAGGCTGTTGGGTATTTTTGAGCTGGTTGCTGCTAGGTGCCAACTGTCAAAGTTCCCGGTGTTCTCCAAGTTTCCCCATGACTCCTGGCCTGCGTCGTGCTTGTCTGTGAGGGGGACAAGTGTCGAATCTCTCTGCCTGCGTCCTCTGGACAAGGGCCATGTGCCTCTCTGCTGCTCTCACCGGTTCTCTGGTACCTTGGGGCGGGGTGGGGGCAAAATTTTGTGAATGCGTGCTAAGAATCCACATCTCTGACTGAAGAGGGCTGGCCGGAATAGATGCCATGGTGACTGGGTGGCTGGAGCCAAAGAGGGGTCTGGAGAGGACAGGAGCAGGGAGGGGGCGCAGGAGGCCCAGCAGGAGGAGGGGCCGTGGAGACTGACAGCACTGATGCTGGTCAACATGGCAACGGGTGATGTCAGGAGCCCCGGAGCGGGCAGTAGGTTGTGCTGCTGCACGGGCAGGCACCTTGCTCTGGTCCAGTCATGTGACCCTGTGCACGTCCCCATCCGGGCCTCGGTTTCTCCATCTTTAAGGTGAAAAGGAGGTACCAATCGAGTGGTCCTTCTGATACAGTTTTCTGTTTCCTGTCCCCCCCCCCACCGCCGTGGTTACATTAGCATCCTCAGTGGGGCCCGAGAGGAGTGAATGGGGGGAGCAGGGAGGGTGCAGATTGGACCATGGAATCTGAAGGACTGCAGCTGCCCTGCCAGGCCCCATGGAAAGCCCCACCTCTTCCCATGCAGTAATCTTTCTACCCCGAAGGTGGGCTGAGTGGCTGGCTAAGGGAAGGTGTGCATTGCCAGCACAGCACCGTAACGCCAAAGAGCCCAAAATGATGGAGAATTGATTCTTTTTTTTTTTTTAGTTCTTACTAGCCAACGCTCAGGATTGCAGTAACTGGCTGACCGTCCTCTGCATTTTCTTGGCACACAGTCAAGAGAGGGGGCCCTTTAGTGGTATTTAGAGTTTTTCTCAGTTATTTGTTCTCCTCTTGAACCTTGGTGTTCTTGCTTTGAGTGGCACAAGCTGGGGGCCTGCTGCAGTCTCGGTGATCTTGGCTGGCAGTGCTGGGTATCTCATAGCAGCGGCCATCGTGTATTTAGAGTAGGGGGCTTGCAGAGGATTCTCGAATGTGGTCTCTGAAAGTGGAAAATGCTTCCCCACCCCCAATTCTTCCTTTGCCCACAATAGGAGTTGGTTACTTCATAAATGAGCAATGGCGTAGGCTTCACAGATCCACATGCCATTGAGCAGTTCTAAGAGCTTGAAATATGGCAAAAGTTGATGTCTGTGCTCTCGTTGTCTCTTTCCTGGTCTGAAATACAGAGCCCATGCTCTCATCTCCTGCCTTGTTAACCCCTTATTTTAGGGAGCATACAAATGGAAGCAAATATAAATCATGAGTGAACGTTTAGTGGATATCACCAAGTAAACATGCCCTGACAGGAAATTGAACACACACACACACACACACACACACACACACACACACTCTCAGCAAGCTTCACCACCTGTCTCTTGCCAAATACACTGTCCTTCTTCCTTCTAGCCTGATATTCATTTTGCTACGGCTTTAAAAATTAAAATTTTTCCAGAAAGAAGGGGGAACAGTAGGGCAAACCCCCATACGCCCATAACCATCCTCATTAATTAACAAACCTGGCCACTTCCACTCACACCCTTCATTTTTTGCTTAAACCATTTTAAACATCTGGAGCCTATCACTCCATGTGCACTGATTATAATATGAATTTCTAGTCTTAACTACCTGAAAACATTTTTTAAAAAGTCCCTCTTCAGCTCACAAGGAAAAATCCTTTTAAAGTCTCAAGGTTGGTTTTGCTATTTTTTAAAAATAAATAAGTACCATAAAAAAGAGATCATGGAAAGTCACCAAAGAACAATAAATTAAAAAGAAATTGATGAATATAAGCAAACACTGGCCCGTAATTTACTATTGCTAATTGTTATTTAACCATGCTTTCAGTGAATATTTATTTTTGCTCTTTCTGTCACAAGAAGCATCAACTGGGACTCCACAGAGTGTTGAACAGAACTGCTTATATACTTATATGTATATATTTGCTCACATGTTCTAGGATAAAAGCACCACATATTACATCCAAAATTGAACCTACTGCTCCAAATATTGTCTATGGCCCCATGCCAAAGCCCCCTGAGGAGAAGAAGACTTCACCTGAGAAAAAAGAATCTTATGATTTCACTCCTGTCATAAACAAGAGAATGTCAGAAGCAACTAGAATCCTGGACAACATGTTGGCAAACTATGACAGCTCACTGCGGCCTGGCATTGGCAGTAAGTGGCAAAACACAGTTCCCCTCCTACCATCCTGGGCAGAGTATGAATGGATGCAGAAGGTGGAGTATGGGCCTGGGGCACATGTGGGCGGGAACATCTGTTACTGACCTGCTGCTAGGCAAGAGATTTCAACTTTAGTCCCACCCAGCAATGCTACTGACCAGAGTCTAGATGTTTTCCTTCTGACAAACTTCGTTTTTCCAACTATAATATGAGATGCCTGGACTACATGCTTAGCCTTGGAGGTCTGTATAGTATTCTAGGAAATGGGTCTTGAGATTGACATGAAACAAGAAAGAAAGAAATGGGTCAAATGTTGAACTTGGGCAGTGTGACCCTACTCTCCCTGTTCATGTCCAAAATTGATGTGATCTACCGTTCTTGCTTTCTTTACAGAGGAACCCACTGTGGTCAACTTTACGTTCATAATACATTCATTTGGTCCACTCTCTGTTGTAAACATGGTGAGTACTGAGCTTTAATTGAAACATCTCTTAACCTGGGGGAGCTGACTTAGAAAGCCTTTAAAATGCTTAGTTTACTATTCCGTTTTTCTGTAATGAGCATTTTGCTGATGGAGAGAGGAGATGTGTGTGTGTGTGTGGGGGGGGGGGATTGCCAACAGTGACTGAGAAGGAGGCCTGTAAAGGTGAGTCTTTTGCTGCCCGAAGAGAACCTCCAGAACCCTGACTCTGTGTACCAGTCTTTTATTCAAAAGAAAAGCAATTCAGCAACTTAGAAGACCACAATCCAATTGCTCTTCTGATAATGATTTCCTTCCTCACATATATAGTTACCAATGCTTGCTCTTAGATTGTTTCTTCATTTTTCTCTAGTTCTTTATCTCATGTTACGCTGCTGTCAATCTCGGGTCAGCACTGCTGTATTATGCTTTGTTACTTCCCACCTGAAATATGCAAAGACCAAGCTCTGTACTGATTCTAATCTATCTATAAACCTAGTTGTCCAAGTGAACTCAGGGTCTTAGCTCTGAGAGGATATTTCCAGATAGGCATTCAAAGGTAAGTAAATATTCAAGGAAGAGCAAGGTATTTCCATAGGCTCACAGGGATTGTAAGATCCCCCGCTGTGCTGCTCTGTCTGGTTACCCGAGTCTTCAAGCATGGTATACTCATGCATTGTTATGTAACAAATTACCTCCAAACAACATCTCTTAAACATGAATAATTGTGGAATACATGTTCGGTGTTCAGAAATTCAGTCCCGACCTAGCTGAGTCCTCTGTTTTGGAGATTATCACAGAATTGAAGGTAAAATATCAGTTTGGGTTGGGGATTATCTGAAGACTCCACTGAGTTACAAACTCAATTCAGCTCTTCTTTGGAGAGTGTGCAGAACCCCCTCCACCAGCTTTTTCCATGTGGCCTTACGATACGGCACCAGGCTTCTTCCAGAATGAGCAAAAGCATAAGAGAAAGTGGCCAAGGTGAACATCACAAATGTTAATAATCTGATTTGGGGAGTGACACCCCATCCTTTTATGTGATAGTTGAGGCAGCTCACCCTTATTGTAAATCTCCGGAATCCTTATTCAGTGGTCGTAGCTCTTTGTTTTTTGTTTTGTTTTGCTTTGTTGTTTTTTTTTTTTTTTTGCTTTTTGGGTCACACCTGGCAATGCACAGGGGTTACTCCTGGCTCTGCACTCAGGAATTACCCCTGGCGGACCATACGGGATGCTGGGAATCGAACCTGGGTCTACCGCTTGCAAGGCAAACGCCCTATACCCACTGTGCTATTGCTGCAGCCTCGGTCGTAGCTCTTTGTGTATGGCTCCCTTAGCCTCCAATCAGAGCAGCGCTGTGTAAACCCTAGCTTCTTACACCCTGGGTCAAGTGTCATGGGATGTGGGCTTGTGAAATTTTCAAAAGATTTCTGAATGGGCGTTAACTAAAAATTCGTTCAAAATCAACTGTACAATGAATTCAGGGTCTTTCTGACAGTGCTAACCTGTGCTATATTTCTTGGGTGAAAAGGGATGCAGGTGAAAAAAAGTTCAAGAAAGTCCTGATGAATCACATAGGGTCAGTCTTCAAGAAGAGAAATCTCAGTCCACAACATGTGGTTTGGAATCAGTTTTCTACCAGCCTTCGGTCTAATGTTGGGGACCCTTGACCTGATCTTAGAAGCTGTAGCCAGTCTTTTATTAACTGCCCAGTGCAGCATCAACAAGTGCTAAGTCTGCTTCTTGCTGTGGTAATTCTCACAAATACTCCTTCTGAAGCCAATTTCATGACAATGAATTTCTAGAGTTCCAGTGGAGCTTAAAGTGATCTGCACCCCAAACCTCCCTGTCACACTAAGGAAAATGTGTTAGGTATCAGTCGGTGTGTAATGAACTTACAGTTGCCATCTTGTTAAATAGAAATGAAGTGCTAATAAATGAGATCATTTTATAGCTCTTCTTCTCCCTTGCCTAAAGAGAGTAGGGGCACAGCAAGGTTTGGGGAGGAAAAGGCTTCCTTGATTGCCAAGAGTCAGATTTTGCAGGCCAGGCTGGAACTGCCAGGGACTTGGGACTGTAGCCACTGTGAAGGCTGCCTGTGAAGCTCAGTAGGGTTCACTTCCCACCACAACCCATTACTTCTTTCACTTACTTATTCTAGAGAACATTCTCAGTCTGCAAGACTGATTCTTTTTTTGCTTTTTGGGTCACACCTGGTTATGCTCAGGGGTTACCCCTGACTTTGCACTCAGGAATCACTCTTGGCGGTGCTCAGGGGACCATGTGAGATGCTGGGAATTGAACCCGGGTCGGCCAGGTGCAAAGCAAATGCCCTACCCAAGGTGCTATTGCTTCAGCCCCTAGACTGGTTCTTGACAGTGACTCTCCAAGTTTATTTTTACCTTCCCCATTGGGAGTCTGTTGACCGTCAGGGTTGTGGGTACATTGTCCAATGCAGGGCAACTCAGACTCTGCATGGGAAACTCGAACCTCGGTGCCCAATTGAATTTTTAGTGCCAGTGAGGTAAGACCCAGAGCACAAGATTAGGGGCAAGGTAATGAAGTTTTCAGCACTAGAAACAGCCGCCACCATTGACTTTTTCTGTGTCTTAGGCCAGCCCCTGAGGAGAAGGTTAGGCTAGCCTTCACTGTTCTACTTGAACCTAGTTGTGGTACTTGATATTTGAGATCATTTTATAGCTCTTCTTCTCCCTTCAATACCAGTGGGGCACAGTTCTAGTTCCTTTTTTGGTTCTTTTTTGTGCTATACGCAGCGGTGCTCAGGGCTTATTCCTGGGTCTGTGCTCAGGGATCACTCCTGGCAGGCTCAGAGGACCATATGGGGTGCTGAGACCGAAAGCAAGGCAAGCTCCCTACCCCCGTTTTACTCTTGCTCCAATCCCAGTTCTAGTTTCTTATGCTTATGCCTGTTAAACCTCCTCCTTGCTATTTTGCAGGCAGTTTAGGGGATAGATTATAAATAGAGACCAAACAGTCATGTGAATAGTCATGAATATGCACATACACATTTAGAGGTTAGGGGCCTTTGTTACAAGGAAAAAGAAAAGCACAACGCAGAATGAAACGAAATACATTTCTCTTGTAATTCAGCTTCATTTTAAAAACATAAACTCTGGGGAATGAAGGATTGAAGTTAATTACCATGTGAGTTCCCAAATAAAAGCTCCGAAGGGAAACTTCATGGTACTTAATCAGAGATTGTGTGTTTGTAGTTTGTAAATGTTTAAACGATTTCACACTGAGACTATTGGTTTGCTATGGGCATGAGCCAAGAGGGCGATGATCTGGCTGGAGTAGCACCACGGCCCTACAAGGGAGGGGTAGGGAGGAGTGGTCCCAGTCCATGTAATTATTGTCATTTCTAGATGAAATGTCTCTTCCCAGACACTAAGCTGCTTAGAACTGTTCTTTATTTGGGAAATATCTCGAAATGGAAAACTACCACAACCAAACTTCTACTTCTTTCCTTATACAAGGTGAAGTGGCTTGATAAGCCTATCCAAGATGTTAGGAGGAGATTCTTGAGGTCAGGGAAGGAGCTCAGGAATTAGTAATGCTTCTCAGGAATGAGGTGCTGGCAACTATCCCGCTCAACTGAAACAAAGCAAAACTAAACATTGAATGAGGTCTTGGATTTTATCTCTTTGTACTAGGGATGTAGCTCAATGGTAGAGCATATACTTTGCATGGGTGAGGTTCTGGAGTCCATCTTTGCACATCCAAAAGAAAGAGAAAAGTCTTGATCGTGTAATGTTCTTTGTTAGTGCAGTTCCACATGTATACTTTTCTGTATTCCCTACCAGGAATATACCATCGACGCCACCTTTCACCAAACTTGGTATGATGAACGCCTCAGTTTTAATGGCAGCTTTGAGGACCTTCTTTTGAACAGGCACTTGGTGAACCAGTTATGGCTCCCAAACATCGATATCAAAAATTCTAAGAGGATCCAAGATCAAGGGCATGACATGAACACTCGTATGGCCCGCATCTACAAAAATGGCAAGGTGCTGCACACAACTAGGTACGTCAAGCCACTGGAGTCTATCAGCACTTTCCTTCCCAGAGCACCAGCCATGGGCAGAAATCTCCTCCTTCCAAAGGCCCTCCCCTCCTTTCTAGACCATGTGTTTGATTCCTTCACAGAAAGCCAACAGATACCCAGCCCTTAACATAGAAAGATATCCTTGAAAGTGACAACAGGTTCATGGCAGAGCTGGGCCTGGTAGCCAGTTTTCCTGCTCCCAAGCCAGAGCTCTTCCACTGTAATGTACCAATATGATTGCACTGCCTGAATGACTTCACCCCAAATGATAATTGGCTCTAAGGGCATTTCCACAATGGTGGAATCATCTGGACAAAGTGGAAATGTAGAGATTGGAAACACCAATCTGGGTGATTTAATGCCTGCCAAAGGGAGTTTTATATGGGTTCTATGGGGGGGGCGGGAGTGTGGTAGTGCACATGAGGATATTGGCAGATCCTGGAACCCGGGATGGGTAGGAAAGTACAACCCCTTGAACTAAATCCCTATGTTTCTCTGACCATGGAGGTCAGAGTGACCAGATACTTTCACAGTGCTCTTCCTCTCTTTTGCTCTCTCCTTTGAGCTCCATGTGTTAAGCCCCACAGTTGCTATTCATTGGAGGCTTAAGTTGAGGATACTTAAGTTCTTAGAACTAACCTAATTAGATTCCTTTCTCCCTTCCAGGATGATCATTGATATTGGATGCCCAATGCAATTGAACAAATTTCCACTGGATTCTCACTCTTGCCCTCTGTCTTTCTCTAGTTGTGAGTACCTTCTTAGGTTTCTGGGGCTTCAGAGTCATGCTGGGCCCTTCTGTTTTTGTCATCTTTTCTTCTGATTTTCTCCGAAGATGGTGCCAAGGTTTCTCTGAATCTCAAAGTCCATTCTCATCTCCTTTCCTGCTGCCATTGCTGTTATTTATCCTGGATCTCATGCTGGGACACCCCCCCCCCCCTTTTCCTTCTACCCCATCTCGGGTCATTCATCTACTGCACCCTGTCCCAAGCATGTCTACTCCTCTCCATCTCTATCACCAACCATCAATACCTTTGTTTTTTTGCCATCTTCTACCACCATCTTCAGTGACCCTCTTGTAACATCTCTGCTTTGAAACTGAACATATCCAGTACTAAATACATTGGCCCCTTCTAACCACTGCCCCCAAAAGGAATGCATTTCTTTTTCCTACCTGTTTCATTAAAATGCACCATCATCTACTCAACGGCTCAAGCCAATAATTTTGGTGCCTCTTTGCCTTGTACATCTGTTGCTGTGCTCTCTACCATCCCTGATGCTCTTGTACATTTCTCTGTATTCTCACTGCTTCAACTTTCATCCTGCCTTCATTCATTTGACTGTGCCTCGATTGCTGCACTGGTCTCCCATAACTGGTTTTTCTGCCAACAGCCCACCCTCATATGATCACCAGAGCGACCTAGTTGACGCATCATCAAATCTATACCAGATCACTTCTTAGTTTTGAAGCCATCTGGAGCTCTCATGCTCAATTCCAAATTCCTTAGCATGGTTTTCACAGGCTTTCATAAAGTGACCTTGCTACACATCCTGCTCACATCATGTGTCTTCCTGAGTTTTGGGCATTTTCATCAGTCATTTTCACCTTCCTGTTAGAGAATACCTTCCCTCACCTCTTCTCTCTCATCCATATGCAAAATAATTTTCTGACGTTTAAGTTTTTTGCAGTGTCACCCTGCATTATGAAGTGTCTTACTGAGTGTGTTTCAAGTGGTCTTTCCCTCCTGTTTGCCCACTGGTCCTCAGCTAAGGTTTTTCAGAGCAGTTTCATATGACCACTCACTGTCTTATTCAGTAAAATATGGAAGTTTGGGAGTTGGGCTCCGCCTTGGTCGCTCTATTTCCAGCACAGAACTTGTACTGAAGAAAGCTCAGTAAATGCGCTTATTTAGTGGACTTCAACAATGAAGTAAAAGATGCAGGATTCCAGAACCGGGTAAGATGACTGTGACAGTCCAGGAATCCAAGGCATTATTTAGATTTCACGTTGGGGGAGACCTCGGCTGGGCTACTTAGTCTCACGAGCACAGGCTCCTGTAAAAGGCATCATGGTAGATTCAACATAGTTATGGTGATCATAGGTTTTCTGATACTGTCCTTAGACTTAAGGCAATGGTTCCTGGGTGTTACAGGTTCCTGACATTCCTTACAAGTTTTATGACCCTTCTTTCCACATTGCTTTACAGTTTTCTATCCTAATAGTGAGGTGATCTTTAAGTGGAATAAGCTAGACTTTAATACCACTGCTGCCTGGAAGCTGTTCGAGTTTGAGCTCCAGGGAGTGACCAATACGACTGAAATCACCGATACCGAGATTGGTAAGTGTTTTTTTGGAAGCCAAGGTATCCAGAGACCCAGGATGGAAGGATGACTGGATATGGCTTTTCATACATATAGCATGCAACTAGCCCATCTAAAAGCTGTAGAACATGGCTCCTGTGTTGTAAATGCTAGGTACTTACAACTGTGTGCAGAGGAAACAGATTTTGTGACTATGCCTCAGTCTTGTTTTAATAAAAGGCAATTACTTTGCTAAGCCTCTCAAGATAAAATGTTAGGTAAACATACAGGTTTGATTGATGTCATATTTTACATTATATTTCAAAGTGATTGTTAAAACAGGTCTACTTTGGGGAATGGAGTTCATGTGAGTTCTTCATACCCAAAGCTGTTCTGTGAAAGTTCATACTAATGGAGTGTAGAAACTAGAGTTCTAATATCCCTTTGGTGTGTTTGAAAGAAATTTCAGATGCTATAGCAACTGTTGCATCAACATCTATATTCATTTTGGTTTGGGGACCACACAGGGATGTGCTCAGGGAATACTCCTGGCTCTGCACTCAGGGATCACTCTTGGAGGGTTTGGGGACCATAAAGAAAGAATTCTCACGAGCACAGACTCCTGTAAAAGGCTTTGTGGTGAAGTCACATAGTTATGGTGATCATTGGTTTTCTGATCCTGTCCTTAGACTTAAAGCAATGGTTCCTGGGTCTTATGAAGTTCCTGACATTTATGAATGTCGGTCCTCAATTAGATATAAACACCTTTGCTTTATTCCTAGGTGATATGAATGAGCCTGGGTGTTGAGCCTTTCCTCAGTGCCGCCACAAATGTGGTTTCTTTTTTGTGTCCTTCAGGTGAATACACAGTAATGACGTTTTACTTCCATATCACCCGCCAACTGGGCTTTCTGACCATCCACCGCTATATCCCTTGTTCATTGTCCACAATGCTCTCCTGGCTTTCCTTTTGGATCCATAAGGATTTTTCTTCTGCCAGGATCTCTCTGGGTAAGTGGGTGCGGCAGGTGCCTGCCTGAACACAGAATGGATTTCTCCAGTCTTCTTTCGGTAGCAAGGTTTTGGGGCCAGTGGCTGACCTATCTTCACTTTTCTGTGTTGGCAGGGATTACCGCTATTCTCACTTTGTCCACGATAAGCAGCTTAATCAAGAGGAAAGTACCCAACATGACCTGTGGCACTGTCTTGGATTTCTATGTCGCCACTTGCTTCGTTTTTTCCTTCTGTTCTCTGTTGGAGTTTGCTCTGATTACCCTCGTGACTTACAAACGAAACAAACTCCATGTTCCAAAAATTCGCCATGTATGAACAGGTTATGGGAGTCCTGGGGAGAGTTGGGGTATGCAGAAATGCAAAAGAGGGCCCTGGGACTTGAGGTCCCTGGTTGGCAGTTTTCTTTACACTGCAAAGTGGGGGAGTTGGACTTCCTGAGGTGGTGGTAGAGATTCTAGGAATGATGAAAATGGGCCCAAGGCCAGACTCCCCACAGAAGCTCGAGATAGAACTTGTCCTCTTCTCTTCCCTCTTGCCTGACTTCTCTGTTCTGTTACAGTCTCGTTCCTTTGTCCGCGTACACATCTCGGCCCGGGACAGTGCCTATCTCCGCGCCCGTGCCCGTGCCGCGACCCGACTCCATCTCGAAGGTTTGCTGATGGATTCTGACAGCAGTGACACCGAGGGTGAGGAGCAGCAGCGGGTGGAGGAATGGGTGGAGGGAGGGTGGGAGCGCCTGGCTTGCCCTAGACAGGTGGCCGACTATCCTGACATTGCCCACCGCCCCGCGAGCTCCTGCAAGTGGTACCAGAAGTTCTTCTGCACCTTCGCCTCCTGCCGTGGTGGGATATGGCAGGACGGCCGCATCTATATTCATGTCTACCGCCTGGATGCCTACTCGCGGATTTGGTTCCCACTGGTCTTCGTAATTTTCAATATTGTCTACTGGTCTGTTTGCCTGAAATCATAGGCTCTAGCTGACACCTACCCTGTGGGCCAGCCTCCCCAGTTCCTCTGGAGGTCCCACATCTCTTGCTAAGGGAGCTGGGATGAGACAGCAGCAGCAAATGAAACCAGAGAGTATCTTTCCTCCACCCTTTCCAAACAGGAGCCAGCAGTGAAGCGGTCTTTGCAAGCTCTCTCCCTCCCTAGCCCGTTCATTAACGCTCCTTGGCAAGTACAGTAGCCTGACTCTGTTCTCCAACGGACATTTATTATGTTTCAGCTAAAATTCACAGACTGTCAGTAGCCCATGTCCTAATATGCGGCCTATATATAAATGAATTCAGTCCTATGAGAGTTCTGACACCCACTGGCTTTCCCCCCAGAAACCCAGTGCTGCCTTTGTGGGGACAGGTCTGGTTCTGACTTCAGCCTTCGAGGCGCCTATCAATTGCTCTTCTCTTACCGACACCTCCTGAGGATACTGGGCAGCAAGAGAATGGCCCGGGAGGACCAAGACCTTTAGCTTTGGTTCTTACTGTGTTGGTTTTTCCCCTTGCCCCATCCCCCTGCATAGAGAGTGACTCGGAGATATTCATTTAGAAACAGGGGATCCAGCAACTGAACGTCTTTGGAATAGTATCCCTCCCTGTGCTGTTGTGGTACCTTCCTCTCTCCACCCAGGCCCTCCCTTCATCCTTCATCTGCACTACCAATTCAGTACCATACATCCAGAGTTTATATCTATCTCTATCTATATATCTATATAATTATATAAATATGGATATAGGTATAGATATAGATATAGATACAGTATAGATACAGAGAGAGACTTGTGTGTGGTAACAGGAATAACCCTCTGTTTTGTATATGCCACCACCCTCCTTGACTAACTCCTGTGAATCTCTGTAACTTCCCCAGTGATTTTCCTAGTCCTTCCTCATAGTCCAGGCCATGGTGGTTTTTTGGGGTCAAGATAAGGAGCAGGCATTTCCTGCACAACCTGCGGACACCAAAGGAGTGTTTTAGCCCAGCCCCTGGGCCCCTGTGTCGACCCCCGGTTCTACCTGGGGCACTTGCACAATCATAATAAACCAATTGAATTCTCTAAAATGTATACAGCCCTTTACTGTTACAAAGCTCCTCTGAGAAATTACTTTTATCTTGAACTTTATCACAGTTCTGTAATGTATCCAAGATACAATTGTTATTCCTATTTTGCAGATGAGATCCTTGAGTCACAGATTTCAATGGCACAGTGGCTCTTACTGGAAACTACCCAGTAACCCACTGCCACCGTCTAGGTTAGAAGACAGGACTAGCTAGAGAGCTCTTTCTACCATGACTATTCTTGGGTCTCTGTTGGCACCCCAAGACCGAACCTATCCTGGCTCTGTTAACCCAGTGAAGTGAATTTGTACATACCACGATGCTTGTATATGTGGAATGAATTCTCTGTGTATTATTGGGGGTGGGTGTGGTGGGGATCCATATCCTTTCTCTCATCATCTTCATCTGATAAGGAGAAATAATAAAGATATCAGCAAAGCACTGATGGTGTGGTTATTTCTCAGGTGTTCAAGTTTGTTCTCAACTCAGATTTTAGATCTTAAATTAGTGATTCGAACCTTTGTCTGTTCCTCACTTTAACCCATGGACTCAGCAGGCATGCGGCCACATACCTTCTCTCAGTTACAAATGGAAAGAAGAGAGGGACCCAGTAGTCACTCTTATGAAGCTTTGAAACTACTTGGGAAAACTCAAGCCTTTCAATGACTCCCTTATTGATTTGAGGCATTTGCCTCCCATACCCATGTTCCTTTTTCTTTACCTGTTATTCTAGCTCCTACCTAGTCAGACCTAGATGGATCCTAGAGACCATCAGACTTTGGGCAGTGAGAGATGCAGATTGGTGTCACTCATTGTTAAAATCGTCTTGATGACTGGTAAAAGAAACTTTGGTGCAATTACACAATGGAGTACTACGTAGCTGTTAGAAAAGATGAAGTCATGAAATTTACATACAAGTGGTACTACAGGGAAAGCATCATGTTAAGCGAAATGAGTCAGAAAGAGAGGGATTGACATAGAAAAATTGCATTCATCCGGGGAACATAAAGTAACAAAATAGGAGACTAACACCCAAGAGTGACCGAGATTAGTACCAGGAATTTTGCTCCATGTCTTGGAGGGCAGTCACACATGCTAGGGGAAAAGGGAGCTCAGATAGAGAAGGGAACAACAAATAAAGGGTGTTGGGAGGATCCTCCCAGGATGGGAGAAGCATGGTGAAAGTAGACTATAGACCAAACATGATTGTCACTCAATGCCTCTTTTGCAAACCACAACACCCTAAAGGAGAGAGAGAACAAAAGGGAATGCCCTGCCACAGAGGCAGGGTGGAATGGGGGGGGGCTGGGGTGTGGGAGGGATACTGGGACCCGTGGTGGAGGAAAATGGGCACTGGTGGAGGAATGGGTACTTGATGATTGTATAACTGAAACCCAAGCACAAAAATTTGTAAGTCTACAACTGCACCTCATGGTGTTTCACTAATAAAAATTAAAAACTTAAAAAAATTAAAAAGAATAAATAAATAAAATCATCTTGAAATGTGTGAATAGTATGATCTACATTTCTTAATCACATTACAATAAAGCTCGAAGCAACATTCTTGCTGCTTATGGTCATACACTTCTAAAAGCTCAAAAAGTTCTTTAAAATGAGATAAAACTGGGCCCATAATGTCTGAAAATAAAAGTAATGATGAAAAAACTGCATATTAAAATGCATGGGATGCCTAGAGAAAACCTCATACTTCAAGCATTCCAATTACTAAATACGTGAAAGAAAAATTAGTTAAGAATTGAAACCTAAAAATTGGAAAAGGAATAAAAACACTATGCCTTAGAAAATTTGGGGAAAAGAATTTTTAAAATATAGTGTAGAAACTAACCATTTCAAAATCAGTATAGATAACTGGGTGACTTGTCTCTCTCTTGACCTTGAACTTAAAGATGAATCCAAGGTATTCAAACTTTTGAGGGAACAATGAGATCAGTGCTCAGAGGTCTCATTTGGCAGTGTTGAGGGACCCCATGCATTGCTACAGGCCAAACCTGGGTTGATAGATTGTAAGGCAACTGCCTTAACCCCTTTGCTATCTCCCTATCCCTGAAACTGTAAAACCTTTTCAGAAAACCAAAAGACAATATGGTTGAAAATGTTTATATCCTTGGGAGAGGGAAGGCCTTTCTAAGCATGACACAAAACAGGAAACTATAAAGGAAAATATTGAAAAGTTTACTTATATCAAAAATATCGATAAGGGTCTTTTCCCTTACTTTATTTAAACACCATGGTTAACAAAGTTGTTCGTGATGATTTCTTTTTTTTAAGTTGTTCATGATAATTTGCTACATTTAATATTCCAAGACCAATCCCACCACCATTGCAACTTCCCACCACCATTATATCCAATTTTCCCAACCACCACCCAAGTTTGTTCCAATAGAAGGCCCTATATAATTTATTGTATATTGCTTACTATGAATAATTTTCTATAAATTATCAAGAAAAATTTCCTTAGGAGAAAGTGTGTGAAGATAGTTGTATCTCATTTTGAAGCCATTAAGTCCTTGTATAAGAGATTACTAATGTGTTGTTACAGGTTAAGACTTGTGTGTTAATATTTTCTTACTCTAGATTGGTGACCTTTTACTTTTCATCCCATCCAATGTGGTGTGCTACTAAGAGTATATCAATGGTGTAGAGTTTTATATATCATGGCCATGTGCTCCAGGAATTCTAAAATATTGAATGGGGTGATACAGTTGGAGTGAAATTTTTAACTGGATGGTGACTCTGGTGTGCGGAGGCATCTCTGCTCTGCAGCTTGTTGATCTCTTTCGAGATTTATTTGTGAGTCTTTGGATCATGGTCGGTTAATGAGCTTATATGGTGCCAGAGGCAGTTCATGGATGTGGCCGCTAGGGTCCTGGAAGCATGGAAGCACAGGGAGATAGGAGAGGTCACCCATTCCTGATTCTCTGAGACCTGAAGATTTCAGTTACAAAACCCACTTACCTGAGTTTTTCAACAGATTCATTCCTGCATGAGGGTCAACCCAAGCCTGTTGGGTCCGACCGTGAGCATGGTGGCAGTTGGAGCGTGGGGGTTTTTGGCCGCTGGGGCTCTGCTTGGGCGGGTAGTAGGGTTACTCACCCCCCTCTGGGGTGCTCCTGATGAGACTCAGCCTGGAAGGGGACTGGAGGCATCTCTGCCTCATGAGGATTTCTTACAGACATTCGACATTCCCACACCAATCCCACCACCACTGTCACCTTCTTTCCAACATTGCCTCCATTTTTCCAAGCATCCTTCAAGCCTGTCCCCGTAGAAGGCAATGATCATGATCACGATCATCGTGTTGTTCGTTGATTGCCTCGAGCAGGCCCCAGTAACGTCTCCTTCGTCCTAGCCTTGAGATTTTAAGAAGTGCCATATTCAAGGCTCTTTCAGGGTTAGGAGAATGAGACCTATGATTGTTACTGGTATTTGGCATATTGGGTACGCCATGGGGAGTTTGCCAGACTCTGCCGTGTGGACAGGTTACATTCGGTAGCCTGCCAGGTTGTCCAAAGTAAGAATGAGATAATAAGATGTTGCACACTTCCGGGAGCTGGGTTTTATAGTCTCTGAATCTTGGCAGTTGATGGGATTACACGGTGCTGGGGGTCAGATGGTGGGCGTGACCCCTGCTTACTGGAAGATGGAGGATCTGGGTGGAGGATGCTCAGCCCCAATCCGAGCAGGCTTGGAGATCTCAGCCCCGGGACCCGCATGTCTTTGTTCTTCTGCTGGTACCTTCATGCGTGTGGACAGTTGTCTCAGCATGCTTGTGGCTGGTTCTGGAGGTCTTCGGCTGCAGGAGCTCTGTTCAGGGCGGAGAGTGAAACTCAACCGGCTCCCCTCCAAGGGGCTCCGGCGAGGACAGCCAGGTGCGGGGGAAGGAGACTGTAAAACCCAGCTCCCGGAAGGCAATGATAATTTATTTTATATTGCTTGTTACCACTAAATGGCTAACAGAATGATCAAAAAATATTTCAGTAGAAGAAAATTTGTGAAAATTGCTACACCTTACTCAGGGGACATTGAAGTCTTTGTTTGAGAATTTACTAAGTTGTTGTTGCAAGTCAAACCTCCTGTGTTAATGTTTTTGTTAGTTGAGATTGATTGGCTTCTAAATTACATTCCCATCCAATCTGGTGTGGTGCTCCTGGGATGTCAATAGAGTTTGGATATGTCACTTCAGAAAATCCAGAATATTTAACTGGGCAGTCCAGCCAGAGCCCTGGCAGCAGCTTTGGGCCATAAGTTCAGAAGCGGGGTCTTTGGGAGCCTGGGCGTGGCCCCCTTTTTCCTAAGATCACCTTGGGAGGTCTCAGCTAGGAGCAGGTGTCCGAGAAATTTTTGTGGCTATTTGATCTCTTTTGAGATTTATTATGAGTCTCTGTAACAAGGGGT